ACATGTGTAAATAATGAATAGTTCTCTGATATGAAAACTAAAAATGTAAATAAGGATCAAAATATATAATTGATATTGTGTAATAGCCAGAAAAAGTCAAACAGAGTAGTGGAAGTCAGAGGGATAGGGGAAAGATAAGGCAAACGAAAAATATGAAAAAAGGAAAAACATGGAAACAAAATCTTTGTAAACAGGGAAAGGTGGAGGAGGTGAAGGGAGGACAGGGGAATGGGGAAAAAATAAGAATCAAGATACATCATGTAAAGGTGCAAGATACCAGTGATGAAAGTAGCTGTATTGCATACCTAAAATGTACCAGTGAAATAAAAGAATAAATAAATAAAATTAAAAATATTTAAAAAGAAAGAAAAAAGAAATGGAAAAGAACACAAACACGTTTCTTCAACCCTAGGTCCTCAGCCAAGTTGGCCCTTCTGCTTATACAACTGTAAAAGCAAACACTATGTCTAGAAATGGAGAGGTCAAACGTCTTGTGTATGTGGTGCCAAATTGCTTCAAGTCTGTCCTGAAAGAAGAAAAAAAATGTTTGCTGTAGATAATACAGCTGTATTAGGGGGGAATAGGCTTTTAGCTGAGGAGAGACTGATTTGAAAAACTGGCATGGCTCCTGCTTGTCCTCTAGCCCACTTAATTTGGGTTTAAAGCACTCTGATGAGAAGATTGGGTAGAAGCCAACAGGAACTTTCTTAGCTTCTGGGTGAGTGCTGAGACCAACAGGTTGACAGAACAATTCACTCACAACTTGATGAGACTCTAGACAAGTTGGCCTGGCTTTGAGCCCCAACTGAACCAGTGTAGAAGAGAATTAGGGACAGGATGGTTCGTCCTGCCTCTGTCCATAACAGCTTTCCAGTGGCTCCCAGGGAACCAAATAGTACTGGACAGATCCTTAGGCAGGAGAACCAGCATTCTTTTAATGGCCACCCTCAACAACAATAGCCAATGTGAACACCAAGGTTTGGCATAGAAGAAAAGGAGAAAAATAGTAATTTTAACTTACAGGTCCATTCATAGGCCCATAGGAGGCATCACTTAGGAGAATCCTCAGAAATAAATGGGGCATTCTGAGTGACCCAACTTCTTATCAGGACCATCTGAGGGAAGGAGAGGGGTAGAAACTTGCACACAGCTATGAATCTGATCCAGAGTCACTGGCTGGAGGGGCTGAAAGGCCTTTGTATCTTACAGCCTCATATATAATCACTCAGAAAGTCACAAAGGTAGAATTCATTCTGTAAGACATCTTTTGTTCTTTCCTCAAGGATGATCATTGCACTTAGAACATAGGCTGTGGATTGGCCTTTTGCTCCCCATAGGAATGAACAAAATGAGAGTTGGTCTTTGTAACATTGTATTCCTCCAGTATCCATGGAGATATCCAGAATCCATATCAGTCCATGTTCGCACTCCTTATATAAAATTGTATTTTCATATAGCCTGCATATGTCCTTCCAGATACTTTAATCATCTGCAGATTATTTCTAACATCTAAGACAATGTAAACAATTATGTAACTCATTGTACTCTATTGTATAGGGAATAATGACAAGGAGAGATGTCTGTACATGTTCAGTACTGACAAAATTTTTAACAAAAATTTTTGATCTTTGGGTTAATTGAATCTGTAGATATAGAATTTACCAATACAGAGCATCAACTTTAATTAGAATAGGGCCTAGGATTGGGGGAGAAGAGTTGCTTTCCTCTAAATACATAAGAGCAGAAGGGAGGGCAGGAACTAGGGGAAAAAATGAGAAGCAAGACCTGTCATGTTAAGGTACAAGATCCCAATGATGAATGCAACTGTACTGTATACTTAAAATGTATCAATAAACTCAAAGAGGAAAAAAAAACAGATAAGAGCAAACTTTTTGCATTGAAACCTCAGACTGGATTCTGATCAGATGATAGGGCTCAGTGGCAGGCTTCTCAGAATCTACCATGTAGGCCACTCGTTTGCTCTCTTCCTCTAACAGACATTTTGCTTGAATTTTAGCTTTTTGCTGAAAGAGATTCCCATTTAAGAAAGCTCTGGTGAGTGCTAATAGACATGCACAGGCAGCAACTCCAACCATGGGAAGGTAGTCTTTCCAACTGGTAGACATTTCCCTGACTGCCTTGGGTGAGAGAGAAGGAAAGCTTGTAATTATGGGTGATCACTCTAAAGAACCGAGGAGAAGGAGTAGAAGAACACACAGAGAGAGAAAGACAAAGAAACAGAGGAAACATGCAGAGAAGAACAAAACATCCCCTTCCATGCAAGTTGCTTTTGCCAGGACCAACATGTTGCCCAGAGATGACTCTGTGAGCACTTTATCTATAGCGCTAAAGTTTAAGGAGAAGCTGGAGGCATTTTAAAAAGCAAAATAAAAGAACTTTCAGGAATGACTCTAGATCAATGTAGATTTGGAAATTTTTCTGCAGCTTGTAGAGATGCAGATCTGAGCAATAGATGCTTCTGACGTTTGTGGTCTTGCAAGCTCCTTAAACACTTTTTGAAACCCAAAGGAAAAATTCAGTAACATCTAGGACAATTTTGATATTGCAGGCACACTATCATATTCTCATTTTTAAGCAATGTAACATTTGTTTGGTATTTGTGGATGCTTTCAAATGAGAGAAGGATGGGGGAGGAGGAAATGAAAAAGAGGTTTGGGAGGAAGAAAGGAATTTCCTATCTTGAAATTAGCAATCTCCTCCAACATCTAATGTCAAGAAACTTTAGGCTTTTATTTGCGCAGAGAAACCAGGCCAGGGAGTGGTTCTGGTAAGTCATTTGTCCTTTCCAGGCAAACTGATTCACTATCTACTCACCCATATATAATATATAAAGTATACATAAACATTATTCATCTTATTGTAGAGAGAAGTAATATATTGAGGGGACTTAAACTGTGCTGTTAAGTTTCATTCTCACTACATGGCTCCAGTCAGAGATGACCAAGAGGACTGCTCCTATTAACAGTAGATGGCAACTCTACCTCACTGATCACAGATCTCAAAGATTCTGTGCAGATGGGCTTGGGAAATTCCTGGATACTCAAGATCACTGAGTTATATTCACTGGCACTTATTGAGCAAGAAATACTAATGACTAATCGCGAACTGACTCTCTCAGGGTGCATTTTACATACTTCATCTCATTGCCCAACTCTCTGAGATAGGTAAGCCTTGATATTATATGGAGACGCTGAGGCTCCGAGAGGTTAAATGACTCATTTTAAAATGCTTGTAAACACTATACTTTCAGGGAGCATTTCTATACTTGGTTACTAAAGAAGTTTTTCTGATCATGTAGAGTACCAGGTCACAACACCATGAGGTCCAATAGAGCAAATCAATTAGGCAAAGAAAGAAACTAAAGGGAGAGGGGGAAAATTAAAAAGATCCAACAACAGGACAATAGCATGACAATCATAAGTCAATACATATCAGTTATAACCATCAATATCTATCGCCTCAATTCACCAATCAAGAGAAATAGACTAGGAGAACAGATTAAAAAGCAAAATGCAACAATAATTTGGATATAAGAAACACACCTAGTTCAAAAAGAAACTCATAGACTGAAAGTGAAAGGACTGAACAACTTCTTGCTAAAATCAGGAACAACACAAGGATATCCACTGTTGCCACTCCTGTTCAATATAACTCTGGAAACATTAGCCACAGCAATTAGACATGAGAAAGAAATTAAAGCAATAAATACATGTAAGGAAGAAGTTAAATTGTCGTTATTTGCTGATGATATGATACTCTACATAGAAGACATAAAAAAATCTGCCAAAATATGTCTAGACTTAATTGACACTTTCAGCAGAGTAGCTGGATACAAGCTCAACACTCAAAAATCAATAGCCTTCCTGTACATAAATGACAGACTCAATGAGAGAGAAATTAGGAAAACAATACTTTCACAAAAACATCCAAAAAAATGAAGTATTTAGGAATCAATCTAAAAAAGAAAACAAAAAAACCTCTACACAGAAAACTACAGCACTCTGAAAAAAGAGATAAAAGAGAATATAAGAAAATGGAAAGATTTCCCCTGCTTCTGGGTAGGAAGAATCAACATAGTGAAAATGGCCATAGTAACAAAATTGCTATACAGATTCAATGTAATCCCGATTGAAATTCAAAAGGCATAT